GGAGTAATCAAAGAGCCGCGGCGAATGTTCGATTGGGACGCGAAGGCGTCAAAGCGGCTTCGAGCGGCTGCTCGCCCATGCCGATCGTTCATCACGCTTTCGTTGCGTGTTATATCGCGCGACAATCATGCGTATAATTCACTCGCACTTCGCGCGGAATTACGCCGCGACAACGCGTTTATTCGACCGATAGCTTATCCAAGGCATTGACGGCTACGAGACGTTGATACACTTGATTTAAGCCGACTCTGCCGGAGGCACGGCTATTCGTCAAATATTCCACCAGCGCCATTAATCCGCATTTAATCTCTTGTAACAAATCGGTTACACGGCGCGGCGGCTTTTTCTGATTTAATTTTTAGATTTTGCGCCTTCATACTTTTTATTTTCTATCTAAAAATTATGTTAATACGAAATTATCTCGATGTAACGTGTGTGACCCGCTTTGACACGGCCAACGTGTAGTTAATACTGATGGTGATAAAATTTCACACTAATAAATTCTTAATGTGTAGTAAAAGTGGGGCAGATTTTTCTATCGCAAGGTTTGCGCGTGCCACTTCAGCTCCCGCCGACAAATGTATTTATTTGTCAAACACGGGACAAATATAAATATGTTATATTTATTTAACGAATTTTGCTTTTGTCATATTCAATTGTGGAATTATCACATTGATATGAATTATTACATCGTGATACGCGTCATATGATCTATACGATGCATTACCTATCTCGGCTTGACAAGTACTGGGCGAGTGGTCGCATTTAGATATGCACTGTAAGCTGCTAATGCACCAGATAAACATTCAACAAATGTTTAGAGACGGTTTGCCGAATATTGCAACACGAATCAAATAATTTGCATTCGATAAATGCAAATATCCTGATGCTGATATATTGCTACATACAGTTATCAATATTGATCAATATTTGGCAATTGAACGCGTCATTTGGTTGTAATAAATATATTATGAAGATTTGACGCAATTCATAAATGAAGATGTAAATGCACACAACGTTTATATCGTTTTAAGATATTTAATGTTTTACCGACATTAATCTTTAATCGAAATGTAACAATCTCGGATATCGCTTCATAAATTTGTTGATTTTATTTTTTATCAAGTTTTCAATGGAAATTGATAAACTTTTTTTTAAATATACTCTCTCAATTTTATCATATTTTATAAATGCTTTATGAATAATCAAATTTACTTACGCTATTATTACTCAAACAGAACATATGTGTGAGATTTTATTTTATTTATGAAATAATAAAAATAGATTGACTATATATGCAAAATAGTTGAGAGAATGAACATTGTCAGCTCTGCAGTGACATAATTTTCACTGAAACCATAAAATCGTAATTTAAGAAGCATTATGAGCTGCAACAAGCGAGTCACGACAAGAAGCTTTCGCATCAATGTAGCGAGGAAGAACAACCGAAGGAGGGAACTTTACCATTTCGTTGTAAGCCGTCATTAACAGATACTTAGGATGCACGAGAAGGGCGGAAAGTAGATGACACGATGTACTCGCACCTGCGTGCGCCATTAAACGCACTGTTAAATATTAACGGGAGGCTTTTATGAGGCCGTAATACGCTCAACGGCTCGTAGCTCGCTGCCTAACGTCAGTGCCTTCTCTCCGAACGACGTTGAGGAACTCGAAATAGCTCTCGTTCATCGACATGAACTTATGACATCTTTTTCATGCCTGTCGCAAGATCCGATCTATTATAAAATAAGAATATAGATAATAATGAAAAATTAAATACATAAAATAAGAATATGACTCGCGAAAATTAATATTTTAATTATAACTGCGAAATATCTAATATATGTATTATAAGGTTAACTTTCCGAAAATCAAGGAATAAGGTTTCATGTAAAACATTGATAAGTTAGAATAAATTTACTTTTATAAAATTAGATAACCCCAAGCTCGGCAATGGAAATTATCGTACAAACGGGCTAACACAATTTTTTAGTAATAGAATTAATAGTTATTTTAAAAATTGAAAAATAAGCAGTATCAATTCATTTAGTTGTCCAAAAAATCTGTGTAATTTATGCTAAATCTTTAAACGTTATCTTACGTATTAATTCAAATTGTATGCAAATTTTTTTTTTCTGAACGCAGAGAGATTTGTAAGTGTTACTTTTCGTCTCGTTAAGCGAATTCAGCGGAATGAAGCCTAATGAATCTAATCCGTACGCATTAATCTTCCGCTCGATCCAAATGCCGCGCGAGAATTCTCCACGAACCAATTTTCCAAGTGCATCACGCGAGGTACGATAACTACGATACGAGGCACCCTTTAACGAAGAGAATGTAAAAGTTTTAACACGCTCCGCGGCGAGCATCGCGGTAAATAAAATTGAACAATCCTTCCAATTTGCCCTAGATTTTTATTACTCGCGAAGAGAAACTTCGGAGCCCTTCGCGCGGCGCGCGAACTTCGGAATCCTCTTTGGAGAGGCGAGAAGAGCGGGCGTGTTGTGTGGGCTCTGTGTAGAAACTCGTCGGGAAAAGTCATTCCGCTCGTTTCTCCGCGGGGTAAAAGAGACGCCACGCGCCGAGCCCGGGTCGCTCTATCGGCGGGGAGGGGGAGGGGGTGCTAAGGGGGTGCGAAAGGGAAAAGTCCGCCCTCTCCGCGCGATATAAGCCGCCGGCGGCTCTCCGTATCGTTCGATAAGCTCCGAGCCCTCGGCGGACTCGGTGTGGGTCCACACGGCACAAAGGCCTAATTACCCATAAATTCGCTGATTTACGGCGGTCTAGAAATGTAAATATGAAATATGAAAATGAGGACGGCGGTAATAAAAGTGATGTACGGGGCTCCGTAGGGTCGTTCATGAAGGCGTCCATCATCGTGCTTGACGGGCTTCTTTGTCTGGTAGCGGCAGTCGAGAGCCATTTCGCTCTCTTGCCTCTACCCCCTCCCCCCGCGTTTCCCCGCGGCACTCTCTTCCGCGACTCTCTTCATCTCGCTCTCTCACTCACTCGCTCACTCATTCCGTCTTTCTCCCGCCCGTCCACCCCCGTCACCCCCGGTCTGCCGGTCTCATGCTTTCTCATCGGAGACGCCGACGGGAACATCCGCGCGATTCGCACGCGAATTTGGTTCTCTCACGGCGAGAAGGCACTTTGTCTTGCCTTTTGTAGCTGTCGTTTTGATTCACGGCAGCTAGTGATTCTTCTTTTCTTCCCGGCCGAAGTCGAGAATACTCGCGGCCGATTTATCGTCGCGAAAATTGTCGTGACTCCACTGACTGCCTCTAATTAATGTGCCTAAGCCAAAAACTGACCGCTTCTATATCAAGTTCCTGGGAGGACGCGAGTATTATCAGCCAGTGATTTAGATTATGACTTTGTCAGGTAATTAATTTACTGCGATAAATATCGTTGCTTAACCATATAATTTTATTTTACATATAGAGAATAAATATTATTTTGTTTTAATTTTTAATTGTTTTTTTTTAATTTTTTTATTTTTAATAGTTTATGCGATTTAGAGCAACGCTCGTTATTGAAATGTCGGCTAAAATGATTAAGTTGTAGCTATCAAAAGATAAATTGAAAGAGAGTTATGCGCTTATGACGACAGTCTTAATGAGCATTTCTTTGATTACCGAAAGATTATATTAATCAAATTCAGTTTCTTCGATAGTGCAACTTTCAAGATGACAGTATTCGTTTGTAGGTACGTTTCCCTGCATAATTTGACCTTAATTAAGACTACCGTTAAAACTCTGTTGGCTCGAAGCAATGCGAATTCATCGGGATTGCAGTGTTTGCACGCTATTCGCTCGATGTTTCCTCGTTTTTACGTTGATTCTTTTGCTGTGCTATTTGTTAGGATGCAAACTACCTTTTCCAGACGTTCCAAAGATCATTATGCAGGTGAAGAAAATAGCAGATATAGTTGCGTTGAAGCTGCTGGCATTCCATTTATTTGTATTCACGATGCTTATCAACCATGTTGCCTAATATGCAAAAAAATATCGCAGGAATTACGAAAAAGTTAATATTTGAAACTTTAAGCATTAAAAGTGCTGTGTGCCTATTGTGCAAACTAACAGTATATTATTAAAAATTTATTACTTTATCAATATATTTGGAAACAATGTGAAAAGGATTCTTATATACACAAATATACATGTCGTGATAAGAGTATATGCAATGAACATAAAAATTTGCGGAACACGAGGCATAGAAGATTCGTTTTTGCCGCATGTCGCTATATTAATTTTTCGCCGAGTTATGTTTTAAAAATTCTGACACGGCGCGCATGAATGTGTGTATGTCACGTAACACGTGTCATAATATTACGTAACTATTACGATACGATCAGCTGGTCAGTAGTAATATGGTAGGTAATGGTGCAATGACCTATACGAAATACGTGGCAGCATCGTCGGCTTCGGTCTAATCCGGGATCCATTCGGGAGGTAATCCATATGAGTCGATAACGTGGCTAATATAAAAACGGAGGACAGTCGTTTACCGGCCGACACGCTGTATTTATCAAATTTATAGGTTAGGACAGTTATACTCGTTTGCTACGCATGATTTGACATAAAATACGTCTTCCTTTATGTATTCTCGCATTGAGCGTGTTACGGATGTCGTAGAGTATTAATTAGTGCATATAATTGCTATTGGCTATAAATAAATATTGTGCTTTGCGTTATTTATTTGTTCAAAAATGCATCGCGAGTAATCACGAGAAAGTCGAATGCTGAGCAAATCGATGATAAAGGCAAGTGAAGATAATTAAATTTTGCGATAATATTCATATTTAACTCGTAATGCCGTTTTTTCGGACATTATTGCTATACTGAATTTTTTTAATTTTTTAGGCAGAATTGTTTTGTGCTTGTAATGATTGAAATTATTTCGAAGTTATCGTATATTATATTGAAAATCTATCGCACTTGTAAAACTCTGGTGTGTTATATGAACAAATCATTTAATTAGGATGTTTGTTACAGGAACTTTGTGCTTAGAAGATATATGAATTGCAGCGGGACATCGGCTGGTGAGTACATTTCAATATTACATAACGTGAATTATTTTTGTATACGATAATATAAGTATATGATATAATTGCTGATAGTCAATGCGCTGAATGCACGTGCGTGTAGCTTGATAAATGCATATTAATTCCCCGAATACAAAATCGACAAAAGTCCTATCGTTGGTTTGTATCGTCACGTATAGATGTCTCGGTCTGCTCAGGCCAGACTAAATGAAACATCCTTGAATACTCACGTTTGCGCACGAGTAAATGTACTCTAACCTTAACCGAATGTGCTTCGACCGGAGTCCTAATTTAAAATAATCCATGCTCCAAAAAATGCACCGTATTTAATTAATGCACCACATTTAAGATATATTTAATATTATATTAATTTGCAATGTAAAACAGTTGATTAGAATCAATTTGATCAAAATCAACATGTTAAAAAATACAAGTGATTCTCGTAAACAACAACTGAAGGAATTGAAGAGCTTTACTGATGAAATTAACCAAGAAATCACCGATATTGTCGGAAGCTTAGGCTGGACAATGGAAAGTGTGTCAAATGTGGTAAGTATAATTGAATTTTGTTTAGAAAGATATTATTACAAAAATATTTTAAATATTATATGTGCATAGGACAAAGAGTATTTTACATGTCCATATGATCCATCCCATCGATTAACAATGGAATCTTTCAACGATCATCTTACCTCTTGTCAATGGAAAGCTGAAGGTTATGAAAAATCGGATATTCCATTTTCGGAGCCAACCTTGCCAGCAAATTCACCGTTCAGTATAAAATTCGGTAAGCAATTTTTAGAATAAATACTTTAAATCTCTTAGAAATATTGTACTTTCATGAAATATATGTTGTAGATGAACAACTGCAAAATGAAGTTTTGAGGAAGGCCAAAGAGCAAAATCTAAGCATGCAAATTGGTTAGTATAAGAGCATAGTAACTTACTATGTCCATTTTTATGCATTTTAAATGACAGTGGAATTTTTTCCAGCAAGTTATGAATGTTATACTTGGTGCGGAATCAATATATCCTTTTACATATCCTTTGCTCAATATTTAGTCATAAAAACAAAACAGTTCTACTGTAACATTTGCAATCTGTTTCTATCATTTTCCTATTTAGTAACATAATGGACAACAACTTATTGTGCAGCTATTAATTGCGAGAAAATAGCTATTTTGATTATTTTATGATTATGTTATTATAATTTTTAAAAATATATACAAATTCTTGACATTGATAATAGGTATGGGTGAGCGGTTAGTACCGCGTACATCTGATAGGCTTCTCACAGATTTTACCAGTGACGAGAGAAGAGCATTATACGATTATGTTATTGCTAATACTACAAAACTAGATATTGGTCAAGATATTGAAGACATCAACAATTTGTAAGGCTTTTAATTGACTAATATATTTGTGATATATAGTTGTATATGTTATATTTAATATTGGTGCAATGTATAAATACTATCAAATTTATTTTCAGGCAACCACAAGAGACAGAAGAGAAACAATTATCCTTTCTAGAGTTATTAATTTATGAGCGCAATTTGAAGAGACGTAGAGCAAAGCATAAAGGCGTTCATACAAATAAGAAATCTCAGGTTGAAGTGCTTAGAGAAGTGATTAATCAGCAAATGGAGATCTATACAGATTATATTTCTGGACAAACTATTTCTGAATCCGCAACTAGTTCTGAACCTATGGATGTTCAGAGTACCAAAGTGGATGATTTGAATTATGAAACATCGCGAGAAAGGACAGAACATTTATATAAAGTATTTCATTCTTCCTCGCAAAGTTATAATGATTTTAATTCTGAGGATTATGAGAGGAATGATCACCGCCATAGAGGAAGTCACCAGGAGTGGTCACCACGTAGAAGAGATGACCGAAAAGAAGAATATTTAGAGGAAAAAAATTATCACCGATCGAGAGATCAAGACAGACGGGAAAGACACTCAGATGAATACAGGAAGCACAAACATGAAAAACATAGCAAATCCTCCCATTCGAGAGATAAAAAGTCACATAAAAAAGATAAACATCGAAGCAAAGACAAACACAAAGATAAATATCGTGAAAGAAGTCATACATCTCGACATCACGATAAGTCGCTCGAAAAGAGACATTCTTCAAAACATAGTGATTATAAACGAAAGGAGAGAAGTAAAGAGCGTTAACACACATCAATTTAAAAATCAATTTTAAGAATGAAAATAGCAATAAAAATCTATTTGACATTTTGTCTGTAATAATTTTAGCATAATTTATTAGCATCTTTAAAATAATTAACTTGATAAATAATAGAATTAAAATTTTTTTTTATTATTTCACTATACATACTTTATTATTTTTTATCATTTCTTATCAAAATGAAAATAAAAGTGTACATTTGGAAATAATGGGCTCAGAGGCATGGAGTGATTGGATTGACTAGGATATGTAGTCTCCAAAAAAGCCATTTGATTAGATTCATCAACGGGCTTTGAATTAACACACTTGTGATCGTCTAATTGATTTGTTATCGTATTGTGTATATTGAATACCGGTCCTTGTGGGTTTGCTTCAATAACATTTTTGCTTTCAGTAACATTTTTGTCTTTTGTCAGATTCTGTTCTTCTTTTTTATCCACATTTTTAATATTATATGCATTGCAATTGTAACTAATCAACAGTTTTTGTATATCATAATACGACAAGTGATTTCGTTGACCAATCTCCACGTTAGGAGTCTATAAATATAAAAAAAAATTGAATTAACGATATTAAATCTCAATGCAATAAACCAGATATTACAAATGTAACAATTTCGTCTTGTTTTTCAGTATTTAGAAGTATATTTGATACAATCACCTTAGGAATTATTGTTGGAAGCGTTTTATCCTTAGTAAATGCCGTCATCGAATAGTGCATTATACTATCATAATCGTACGGCAATCCATAATCGGTTACGACGCTATCATTCATGAGATTGAAATTGTACGCATCCTCTAAAAACAGAGTAATTTTTCTAATTAGTTTTCCTTTCAATTCGGTATTGATTTCGTGCTATATCGTGCTATACCATTTCTTATATTATCCCATATTATCGTGATGTGATCGTCGCGATCTGGCCTCATGTGCTCATGATATGCACCTAAAGTGTGTAATATCTCGTGTAGCGCGTGTCCCGTCGTAAACAAGCACCTGTCCACATTTAAATTTAAATGCGACGGTCCAAGCGTACTACGCCCCAAATCGGAAAAACAACCGTCTTGATTGCCGGTGATGTTAACCCAATTATTCTTCGGGAGTCTTCCGTCTTTGTTAGGATAAATGCGCACGAACTTAACGCAACTTTTCGACATTATAGTATTCATGGCTTCCTCCACTATAGCGAGTCTCGTCGGCTCATTAACTGGATTAAAAGATTCTTGAATTGTGATTGAACAATTCTCAAACATATTTATTTTATTTGAATTCAAATATGTCATTATATGCGAGATTATTTCGATCGTGATATTTTTATACAATTTAAGATCCGAAACGACTCACCTATGGACGAATGAAAATAGTAACTCACGACACCGTCGGGCCACAATAGACTTTTATCCTTCGTAATCGTTTTTCTCGAGAGCATTTCGCGTATATCTCCTTCTCGGTGTGCACCTTCTTCAGGATTGTCATAATGGGACCACGTATCGACTGTAAAGATATAATGTTATATTTATAACAATACTAAGCGTTTAAGACGCTTGTGTATCGTTTGGACGGAGAATGAATTTTCTCGCTCACGTCTGTAGCTGATGGGTATTGCAGAAGCGGCCCTCCGTGTCACTCTGGTTGATGCTGACTGCGGAAGGCTTGCGAAAGCATTGTAAAATGACATCGGATATGTATTAGTATTCGCGATGAGCCAACTATATAATAAAAGCACTAATGCTAAAGAGAAAAACGGAGGCTCACAGAGGCGTCGTGCTTTCTGCATCTTTCTTGGGCAAATTACAAACGTGGACTGACGTTTGATCGCTGACGTGCGCATTATAATCGTACGTTGATCGGTTACACCTTACAATCGATGTATTAAAATTCTCTTCAGAGATCCAATGATGTGTGCAACATCCGTAACGCCACAATTTAGATTAAATTGTTAAGAAATGAATTATCAAAGTAATTGCCAATAAAAATCTAATCAATTAAGCCATTACTGATACCGATTTTTATTGCAATTCTTATTCCACATGGAATTACATTCAAATGTTATTTATGAATGTGTAAATAACATAGCATTTGCGTTGTGAAAGATAATTAGAAAATTTTTTTAGTAATATTTAGAAATATTTTACATTTTTATTAATTATTTGAGATTTAGTCTAAGGTTTATTTTAAGATTTAATTTATTTAAGATTATTATAATATTATAACGAGGACATACTCACAAATGTATGCCGAAATCTTCCGTTCAAAAACTTGTTTCTCTATGTGGAACAAGTGTCAATGATATTCTAGAGTTAGAATCAGTGCCGCTTGGCTCGTTACCACGCAACCCTTGAATGACCTATTTCGTGCTGATTATAAACAGGAGACACCAAATAATCCGGTTGCGAGATATACATTTGCTGATGATATTCATGGTACTTTCTTTCCTGTTCTTGCATTTTTTAAATCGCCTCCTCTACAACTCTACATAGAAAATTAATTGAAAAAAGTGTCGCGTGTCAGTTGTGGTGGCCAGAAATGGATTACTCAAGCCGAAATCCAGGCTAATTATATTATAAAACAAATTCTATGATAAAATAAACTTTATAACGACAATTTGATGATGTAAAAGACGCTGTAGAAATTTACCGAGATACTTGAAATAAGACTGCTCATCTACATTTAAACTATCACATTATTTGCAAGATTAAAATCATCATTTAATTGGTTTTTATCCTTTCCCTTTTTTTTTAATTAATTATAATTATTATTAGACATCAAAGTATTATAGATTTAAATTTCTTATGCATATAAGAACTGCATTAGAGATTGATTAAATTTAAAATTACTAAAACAGATACTTTTTATATATTTTACATAAACACGATTTATATTTAAAAAAAGGAACAATGTTGTATACATTAACAAAAATAATTTTAATCTTTTTTATACGAGCGGTAATATTCTCTCTTTTCCGCCCGACTATTCTTTTCGTTACCATCTTCTTCTGTGGCTTACTTATTCCTTACTCCTGCCACAATATTTTCTGAGGGCGTTAGTGAGATCAGGAATCACAACATCAAGTCGGTGGCAGTCGACGGTTAAGAGAATATGGCGATAGCTGTCGTCCTCACTGCTTTACATATTTAATGCATGCAATCTCAGCTTGTTGAGCGATTTTGTTTTGTCGCATGCGCATACTGCACCTGTGCGAGAAGCGCATTTTTTGACTTCAAATGAAAAAATACGAAAGTTCCAAGATGAAGAAGTATGAGATCTTAAAGCAAATCGGAGAGGGATCTTTTGGACAAGTGTACAAAGCTAAGAAACGTTCGGATGGTGAAATCGTGGCTTTCAAAATGATAAGGAAGGTACGTGAATCAAAGGAGATTTATAAATAAATAACTATTTTATAACCAATGATGTATTTGTTTGCAGTGCGGCAGGTCGTTTAAGGAGCTGAAAAGTTTACGTCAAGAGTGTGAGATTCAACGTCATTTACATCATCCAAATATTGTGCAGATGTTAGATTCCTTTGAGACAGAAAACGAAGTATGTTAGATCGACACTTTTATAAATAGCAGAACATAGCGTTTAATAAGCGATTGATAATTAGTAGATCTAATTGTATACGTCAATCAAATCCAATCCAGTAATTGCTTATTGAATGTTTTGTACTGTTGAAAAAAATATAACATATTTCTAGATGTTTTGTAGAATATGTGATCTAGATTGTGGTTGTAACGGAATATGCAGACAAGGAACTCTATGATATACTGGACAAGCAAGGCAGATTGTCCGAGGAAAGAGCTCAAGTAATAGCTTGTGATCTGGTGTCTGCGCTTTATTATTTGCATTCAAATCGAGTGATGCATAGGTTTGTGTCTAATTGTAGACAGATGTAATCTGTAATGTGCTATAATAATGATTCTGTTTTCATTATTAGAGATCTCAAGCCACAAAATGTTCTTTTGGAGGCAAACGGTGTGGCTAAACTTTGTGATTTTGGATTTGCTCGCAGCATGAGCACTGGCACTCACGTACTTACTTCAATCAAAGGTACGCCATTGTACATGGCGCCAGAACTTATAGAAGAATATCCATATGACCATAATGCTGATTTGTGGTAAATCTGTCATACATTTGACACATATAATTTATATTTTATTTGCACAATAAATACATCTTAAAATTAATGTTTTATTTAGGTCCTTAGGATGCATAGTTTATGAATTGGTGGTGGGTTCTCCTCCATTTCAGACCAACTCAATATTGCACTTGGTTAAATTAATCAGATTTGAAGCGATAAAGTGGCCAGATTTTATTTCTCCAAATTGCAAAAGCTTCTTACAGGTAGAAATATTTATCTAGGTATTTGTAGATAATGTGTTTGTAATATCTTATTTATTCATGGTTTTAATTTCAGGGTTTACTACAAAAAGATCCTTCTCAGCGATTGACTTGGCCAGCTCTTCTCGAACATCCGTTCGTCAAAGATCGAATTATAATAGTAGGTGGCACCGCACCTGTGGCTCCATTAACAACTCCATTGTCCGCGAGTCAAGCAAGAGCAAAGCAGCAGCAGTTGCAAAGTCTGGCGATGCGTTCTACGAAACAATCCAAGTATAGTGCCGTTGATTTAATTGTCTTGAGAGAATCGTGCACGCAATATTTTTCTCAATTAATCGTTTTCTATGTAGAGTTGTGGAGAAAGTGATAAAAAAAATGCAAGAACAGGAGAGGAAACAGCACGAATATCGTCAGCGAACATGTATCTCGCAACCGGGTTATCTAGTATCCCCTGGTTATTGCCAGCATGGAATAGGTCATTGTCAAGGATTGCGTCATAGCGAGCCGAGCGGCACTGATTCTAGCGCTAGCATCGACGTGCTTTTAGGAAATCTCAGTCTCAGGGCGTCTCTGAGAAGTGATCTTCTAGCAGCGGATCACGCTATATGCCAGAACGATTGTCCGCATAGCGCAAATGTAGAGCATAATTTCCCCGTATCGGAGGATCACTCCAAACCTATTCAAACGCAGATAGACGACAATTCCGTTGGACGACAGTTGGATGGGGAAATGCATCACACTAATGCTCAGGGTGATGGTATCAATATCGGTCAACAAGCGGAAAAATCCTCGCACACTGATCAAATGCACGGCGATGGTGATTGTAAACAAAGCTGCTTGAGCATCGATTATGAACAAGAATTCGGTGAGAAAAATCCACCCGAAAAGAAAACGTCCGAGAAGCCTGCGAGATTGCCGGACTGGGATCTGAGGGCAGTGGAAAGACCGATTGAAAATGAAGAATGGGTTGTGTTTTTACAAAAATCGATGGAAGAAGTTATGGAGGGCGAGATCGATTCTTTGTTGCAACAAAATTGCGTTTCGGTGTTTGTTTCCCCTCTTAGAAACCCAGCAGCCGGTTGTCGAGTAGTCGAATACGTAGCTTGTTTATTATCGTTGCCGTTTACCGTGCCAATTAGCAAGGAGAATTTGAAGAAAATCGAACGAGTTTATCTGGATGTAAGAGTGGTACCTAATCTCGTTTACGCTGTGAAACTCCTAATGTCGGAACGCTCTGACGAAGCGACGAACGCGACAGATACGGCTTATGCGGAAACGAGATCAGCATCCTCTCTGTCTGCGGATGAGCTTCAAGCGCTCGAGTGCGCAATGCTGGTGCTTTGCAGATTGGTATACGTTGGGAATCAATTTCTCATTCAGTTTTGCGACGCCATTTACATCGTTAATGGAATGCCACTTCTACAACAACTGCTAGCTTTGGAGAGAAGAAAGGCACGAGTCGTTGCGGATCTTGTAGCGATTTTGAATAATGTGCTGCGATCTCAACCTGAGAATGCCGAGCTTGTGGAACGGGTCGTATTGCGTATGAAAACACCTGGTGAGTAAATTATAAATCATTTTCTGCACCGTCATAATTTTATAAGTTGTATATGTGAGACTGTGTCTTCAATGAAGGAGCATCGGTAGAGCAGCTCAGTAAACTTCTCCATCATCGACAAGCTGTTTTGCGAGCGAGAACGTGTACCATGGTTAGATTGTTGGGTAGATTTTGCTGCAGAGCACTGCAACAGGTTTGGGACAGATCATTAAAAAATTTAATTGAGAGTTTAACTAAGGATGAGGATGAACAAGTGCGACACGTAAGTAAATTAAATAATTGCAATGTTTTCGTCAAAACAATACATTATATAACATATCGCAAAAATATTATTCTAGGCTGCTGTGGATGCAGTAAGTGAATTAAAACAACTAACGTATTACAATCAAAAGAGTCCTGTGAGTTGAGCGGGTGAAATAAGAATATTTGTAGGGATCAATTTTAATGTTGTTATTATCCTTCAACTAGTACAGAATTATGCGTAATTCGTGATTCGCCGTTGAGAGAGAAGAAATTAAACGCGCCAATGACTGTAAAAGCATTCAACGGATAACAAACTGCGAATCGCATATTCACATAATCCGGCGCTAATTTTATGAGATCAAATATTTTATTTTTAGACAGACTGATATACTTAAGAAATAAAATATTTGTAATATTTTTATAAATCGCTAAATAATAAACATACTTTGGCTCGTGCAGATATACTTAAAATGTAGCAAATACGTTATAAAGATTTTCAAGTGTTCAATCAAATTAATATTAACAGGGTAAATAAGAATCTTAATTGTACGTAATATTATTGACTTTGTGAAATTTTTTACATAAATATACGCAATATTGAATGTTTTGTTTTTATTTTTAGATCTTTTTCCATGAAAATTCCATGTATTTGTGCAGACTACCGACTTGGATATTTTATTACACATTTTAGAGTTTGATTATTTGAATTTAATCGAATATCCATCCCATAGAAATTTCTTCAGAAGAATTAGATGAATCGCTGTCATTTTCTTTCGTGTCACGATTGCTACATTGCTCTTTATACATTGCCTGCACTTTGGCTACGTCCTTTTCGCTGAGTCCGTCTCGCTGACCAAGTTTTACCTTTTCTTTCTGCGAAATGACATAAACATTGAGAGCAAACCGAACTATATAGAAATATCATGAATACCGCACGATTATTACCTTCGGCGTAATAGTAGGTTCTCCATTTCTCGAGAAGGCATGGGAACTGTAATGCATGACGCTCTTGTAATCGTAGCCGATGCCATAATCGGTCACAGTGCGATTATCGTACTTATTGAAATTGTGCTCCTTGCCTGCAAGAGTTCATTAAAATTTAGTTCACGCATTGTGTAAAAGCTTTCATCCGAAGAATTCATAAAAAATATCATAAAATATCATAAATTGCTTCTCAATATTTATGGAAGATTATTACGGAGAAATTGATAAATAAATATATAATCTTACGAAAAGATAAGAAATCTCTCTACTTATATTTTTTTTTAATTATAAACACGTAATAAGTCGAGAAAATATATTTCGCAAAGAGTGCAATTAAATATCATTCGAAACGGTCGAGATCCTGTTTTAATTACCAAATTTGAAATAAAATATGCCATTTAATTACATTGCGATAACATTAATGCTCTTACCAGGCTTGATGTTATCCCAATGTATGGTGACCCACTCGTCTCGGTTCGCGGCGCTCTGTTGATGGTAAAAGCCCAAGGCGTGCATAAATTCGTGTACGACAACACCGTGATGAACGCATCCCGGATTCTGTAGATTCAAGACCTGTCCATGACCGTGACGGCCGACCAGGGACCAACATCCCGAGTTTTTCGCTTGTATTGTCACGTAATCGTCGTCAGTATCTTTGTAAGGCCGAAAACGCAAGCAGGTCTTTTTGTGATACTCCTGCATCGCTTCTTTGATCAATTCGATTTGGCTCTCATCTACGAATTAATAATTTATGCATGAAATTGAATTATCGAAGTCAAAAGTAAATTTAAATATTTACGACGAATTATTTATGACCGATTTTATAATAATGTTTTTGTTTGTTTTACATATAATTTTGAAAAAAAGCAACGAAGCAATTAACGTAATAAATTAATTAACGTTAACGAATTTTAAACGGTATTTGCTATTAATGAAAAATATTTATGATAATATAAATGATAAAATATGTTTATCATTTAATATGTTTATCATAAAAAATGTTTATCATTTCGATTAGGAAAAAAAGGATAAAACATTACCAAATTCATCTTTCTGTATGAAATACGGCACGACACCACCGGGCCATCGTGCTTTAGTGTCTAGAATACCGTTTTTCCATGATGGACTATCAGGATGGATCATTATATCACCTTCGTGTAGACCGCTCAGTTCCCAAATATATTGTGGATTACTCGGGCGCCAAGAGTTTATGTTATTAGCTGCGCGAGAGAAGATAAATATAATTTTAATAAAGGTTTTTTTCGATTATTTTATATTTAGTTCGAGTAAAATTTACTTTATTTCTCAAATTTTAATTAGTTATAAATTTATTGAAATTGATAGTGCAATTAGCAATTGGAAATTTAATTACCAATTTCTTCATGATTGTGGCCGTCTTCGAAAACTCCGTCGAATCGTGGTTTAGGCGGTGCAGGACGAAGTCGACGATGATTTCTGGCCGGTAATCCCGAACTAATGCCGATCGCTACGAACAGTAAGATTATTCGTATTGTCACCATTGTGCCTTCGTCCTGAACAAAGTAGTACCTTACACTGCAAGGTTTCCTTCTTTATATATATAATCCTTATCCGCTGTAATCGCTCACCAGCGGAACTTTTTAGACACTTCAGATATGCAAATACTTAGTTTATCTCGTGTGATTCGTGAAAGAAGGTTCTTCAGTTCTTTTTTGAACATTTTGTCGCACATTTTTTTGTTTATATTTTTGTTCAATTTAATTTGTCTTGCAGCAAGTATTGCTCTCGGGAATTAATTATCAGCGTCATCATTGTGTTTCAGATCGATCCGTGACGTTGCTTTGAAAACTATTTAGGTCGAAAATACAAACTATAATCGCAGACACAACCTGAATATAAATCGCGCGGCTTATCTTTTCGTTGACTGTTGTGACCTAATAGAAAATCGGTTCCGCGGCAAACTCCCGTAGAATTATCATCGCACGTTATTGTGGTGTATGTCAAGACGATGCATTTACATAAAGGAAGTTACGTGTACACGAGAAAAATACAAATTAAGTCTTACCGCGATATTTGAAACATTCTAAATTACTTCTCGTAGAAATATTTTTTGGAGATATTTTTTTAATTGCAATTCTTTTAATTTGACATTTTAATGATCAAATCTGGGATTAAATTTAGATTGCAATAAAATTAGTTAAAATTTTATCAACAAATTCTGCTTAATTTATTATAATTTTTTTTTATTATTACATTTCTTGGACGCATAATTAAATACATCTTTTATTTTTCGCTAAGAATTATACCATAATTTTTATTATATTACGATTTTACAAAATGATAAATATTTTTTTGTATTTTAAGCTGTGTCTTGCATTCAAGTCCCGTCTTTTGTACAACTTTTACTCTTCACGTACATCTATTATAGAATATCCAGTCTTCGCTTGACGCGAAATCGGGTACAAAAAATATGGCATGCTTTTTCTTTTCGTCGTCTTGCAGTGCATTATTTATCGCCGTTCTGAAAATGAGCAGAACGGCAGATTTAACAAAGTAGCGCCTCGGAGAAGGCGCCTTATCGAATCTCCGGCATCCTGACGCCTCGAGGCGTCACAGATGTGGGTCAAAATAATTCGGTAGCCGGCCGCGTAACTCAGTACATCGATATATTATCTTCGAATCGTTTCGTGCCTTTCCCTCCGGATCCCTCTGTCTCCTCCGCGCGTCCGAAGTTCGGTCCACAGCCTCTCTCGTCTTCACTCCGGTCCGGGCATGTCCGAGGCGAGAAAAAAGGCGTGCAATTATAACCGTGCGAAATTAACGGTAGCAACCTTGTGCTCGTGCGCGATCATCATGAAATGCACAAACAGTGCTGATAATGATTGTGGTGTACACAAATTTCACAGCCGCTACTTCACAAATTAGAGTAGCAACAGTTAGAACGTTGAATATCACAATGTAAGAAAAACTGATGACTGTATTCGGAATACAGCACATCGTGAATAATTAATTTGTAGAATTAGTAGAATTAGTAGAATTTATATTTTCACAGAAAAAATTTGTTTTCCTAAAAAATAGTTCAACTTAATTCAACTGAATTGAAAGAACTTTGCGTTTGAAGGATATTGTTGAAAAATGATCAATTTTCTTTATTAACTGTCAATTTTCAAATTTATGTGTTTTCAAATGCAGGTTAAATTTTTGTATCTTTGCGTAGCGATCAAGCAAAAGTGATTAGATACATCAAATTGTTAAATCAAATTGTTAAATGTCTCAAAGTATCAAAGTAATAAAAATTTACAGTAGTATCTTATCTTTTATACATTTAAGCGAACGCTGTTTAGATCTCTTCTTCCCTTTCACACATTTCACGAGTTTGGGACAAAATTGTCTACAGCGCCGCGTGATTCGCGAGCGATTCGACGAGATCGACTCGAATCGGTTTAGACGTTTGTTAGATAAAAGCTCTGTTTATTTTTTTTTTAATACGCGAACATACAAATATACCGTACACAAAGTTGCGCCCGAAAATCTCGAAGGCAGGGAATCGAAGGCAAGGCCAACGACCGAGGCGTTCCAGAATTCGGGTAGAGCTCCTCGTAGCCTAAATCCTAACCGGACTTCTTGGGAACCGCAAGAGCGAGCAAGACTTCCTCGCGTTCGCTACGGGGAGCTCGCGTTTCACGAGCGTCTAACGACGGAAACTTCGTGGTTTTCGTTTTTCTCCTACTTCTTTCAACAGTTTGTTCTCTCTCGTGATCTTATTGGACGCTTTGAAGATTAATTATCTCGCTTATTTTCTCTCTTCTCTCACTTTAAGTCCATTTTGCCTCAAGAAGTCATTTTTTGCACACTTCACGAAGACCAATTTGTGTTCTTCATTACGGTTTGTACGCGGATCGTGTCGTTAATTTTTTGGTGGTGATAAAATTGGAGACGGTTAGCAACAACCTAACGGTTTTTAAGAGATGCAAATGATTCTTTTCGATTGCTCATGATTTTTTATATTACTTCCTATCTTGTCTGTTATATCGCTGAGGATGACAAGATTATCGCCGCATTAATAATTAATTAATGCGTGCGTTGACGATATTCGGTGCGGCTGCACTGATCAGCGACCAAATTTCTCTGTAATACTTAAGCAAAATACATTTTTTGTTAAATTTTATATCGTAACATTTGGTAAGCCTAGCATTTTAAAATCCACATTTTTTTATTGCTTAGTTTTGAAAACTTACATTTTTAAACAAAAATGTGGTCCAGAATGTTATATATTTTAAAATGTACATTTTGTATATTATATATGTTTATATATTTTTTAGATTATTTCTTTCTTTAAAATATAAGATTTTAATGCATTACAGTAAAGAAAATGTGCATTCTAAAGTTCTAAGCCTGCCAAATGATATGATATAAGATTGTAAGGCATTCTAAGATATAAAATAAATATAATGTACATTTTATTTATTTTTATACCTTAGAATCTTATATCATTTGATAGGCATAGAACTTTAAAATATACATTTTCTTTAGTACGATGTATTGAAATGCAACTTCTAGTAAAACAAACAAAATCGATAAGTTTTATTATTTTTATGAATGCGAGTGGTAATAAGACATAATTAAGATACGCGATTATATTGTATTAATTAACATGCATTATGATATGAAATAATGCAATTAAATAACAAAATTTTTTTATTAAAATAGAATCTGCTAAAAGTATCTTTTTAAAAGTTATTTATCTTTTTATTTTTTGTTGAGTTTTATATCTTTTATATCTTACTTTCTTATATAGTTTCTTTTTTTTATTAAAATTTTTCTTCCTCTTTCATTGACAGGAGAAATTGATCTTAAACCTTCCATTTTAGATTCTAAAACTTTAAATCATATCTTATCAAATATTTTATAAATACCAATTAGGCGATTATTTAAATTTTGTATAGTTGTTTAGTATCACGGAGAACAATCTCTATTGAATATGTTCGCGTGAGCGAAGGAGCGTAAAGAGCTAAGTCTTAAAGAGAAGTCAAGAGTCGCTGGGATCATTGTTGTGCAGGGCAGTGAATTCAGCTCAGTGCCGCCGCACGTGACTTGTCTAATGAGCGATTGGGCGAATGCCGTGGCGCAAGAAACGTGAGAGATTTCTAACGATCGTCGGTCGCATTAGCAGTTCCTTGCTCCCGGCGCAAACTGAGAACCAAGCGATAGTCACTAACGATCTCCTCGCGCGAAATCTCCCGCGAATTCACGTGCTATTCCACGTGGTTGTAGGTCAACGATCCGCGGTCTCTTTTCCCCATGGGAGCATTTAGCGTGTTCTTATCCCGTTGCTTCTAATACTTGAAAATGCAAATATGATCATTTCTTGAGAAATAAACGTATTGTCGGATCCTGACGCACGGACTTTCAGAACTAGCGTTTGTTGCTCACATGAGATTGCGCGCCGTTTATAACATTATTGGACTGTACAATTAATAATAATTGATTTGAATGATATGAGATGATGAATAATAATTGATTTGAAAATTGTCATGTAATTTTGCATATATCAACATCTGAGTTAAAAGAATTTGAAAATTTTTAATTACAACAAAATATGCTGTACGTTCATATAGTAACTTTAATTATCGCTATTATAGTAACTTTAAGTTATCGCTATTCAAAAATGTTAAAAAATTGTGCTAAAGTTTGGTGGCCCGTTTTTTTTGCGAGTGAGTGTATATTTATGAATTATAAATTTTATTTTATTTATTTCTATGTGCCATATTTTTAACAGCATTACAAGTATAGCGTTCATTAACGTCACAATAAGCCAAAAATGAGGATTATTTCGTATGGTTATGATATTTTATTATTTGTTGTTTTGAAAAGAGTATGTTGCAACTTCTTCTGTAGTTGTTGTAGTCCGCTCATTGAAGTCGCTCAATATCATATACGTAACCGGTCTTCACTTGGGAAGTCATGAAATTTCACTTGCACAACGTTCATTTACTTCTTTTTTATTTTTTTTCTTCTGCGAAAGTCTTGACTTGCTCGAATTACGCCGGTTTAACAACATAAATATACGTTGCATCTTTGCCAGAAATGTAAAAGCAACTTCTTCAAACAAGTTTTATAAATACTCTAGCTTTCGTAAATAAATGATAGGGATAAGAGAAGTGCGGCCAAAAACATATTGCATTTCAACATGCTTATCTTTTCTTTCCCGATATTTCTTTATTTTCGCAGGTGCGAATATTAATTGCTTAAACTTGAAAAGATTACAAAGTTTTTGACAAAAGAAAACACTTTGTAATTCATTTTCAATAGTTTTAATCATTAACATACAACGAAATCGAATTGATAGCACAGCATAGGTATCTCGATATTATTAAATGTATAAATGGGAATATCATAAACACTCTAGAGAGTTACATCAGTGATCGAAATATTTGTCAATACAAAAAAAATAAAGAATCTTTCGCACGAACATTCAGCGTTGTCCTCGCAGCTCACAATTTTATTTTAGTTTTATAAAAAGTTTCGCTTCTCATTTAATACATTATTTGTAAAAAAGTATAATTAAGCTTATAAGAAAAATAGATAAATTTTTATATATTTTAACAGATTATATTTTTTACAGGATGCAAAGATTACTGTCTAGAGTTCCGAGAAATACAAGAGACACATCTTCTGTTACTACAACCACCCCGCTTTATCGCATCCATTACAAAAGGAGCTTACGAATGATGGATCTGAGGTGCAGTGGACGGAAGTGAAGTGCGAAGGTAAGATAGAGAGATATTTTTAGCGGCGCAACAGTTGACCTCTTTATCCTGCTTTACGATCCTCGACGCGCTCGTCACTTCTGCAACGCGATTTCCTTTCTTCCCTTCGGGCCTGATCACCAAATAAAACCGATGGCTCTGAATGAGGTGCCTTGTCGATCACTCGCCTTGTCGACATGCTTGCCTACTCGACACGCTTCCACCAAACGACGCGCCACTTATAGCGAGGCAAATTTGCAAAATTGAAGGTCTTAATCGGATAAATTGCTTTTTTTTTCATAAACAGACAGATTGAATTATCTTATTAAAAATATAATGAAACGAGAAGAATAGAATCAAAAATGAATTTAGCTAGATAAAAGTACTTTCCTTTTATCTTTTTATGAAATTCACGGGCGGAAAAAAGATTTAGATAAATCTTAAAGTACCTAGTTGTTTACTTTTCTTTAAAAAGAAGCAATCCATGATTTTTGCTGTCGCTGTTCATTAATTTGCACGCGATAACTACGTCTCGTTGAAATCAGAGGATTTATTGTAACTAGAGAAAAATGAAGTGAATTTTAAGCACTGAAACATTTATCTCATATCTAATTAGATTATCTAACAGAAACACGCTTATTTATTGATTAGTTTGCAAGACTAGCAAGACCAATGCGAATGCATGCTGACATTAATAACTGTCCACTTTCGCGGGACGTGTTGGGGGCGCGAGCGCGAATGATGCCAGCGCCTTTAATTTCGCGTTTTCTACAATCATTGTTCGTCCATTTTAGCGACCGGCGTTGATCGGTTCGGCGGTGGTCCCAGGCACAGATGAAAGCCGAAATCGTAAAGGAGATGTTTCCGCACCGCGTATCTCCGGCAGGCTCGGTTCTGGGTTCCCCGTGAACCACTGACCCACTGGGACCACTCCGGACCATCGGGACCAACAATATATTTCGGTAGTGAGTAAACTCGGCGAACAGCGCGAACGTCCACGGTTCATCGACCCTGGTTATAATACTTCTCTCTCTCTCGTCCCTTCTGTCTCCCTCTCCCTCCCGTCCTCTCTCTCCTCGTCCT